TTTCACCTTTGGCCCTAGTTTGATTCAGGTTCAGGTTGTGACAAGGTTTTTTTTATGCTTGCTCTACATTAATAAGTACACTAAACTCATTTGAAACAAAAAGTGTCCTCAATTGGGTAGTAAATAGCCGTACATTTACTCAGAACACACTCATAAAATTCAGCAACTGACATTTCTGTCTCCTTCCTCTGTAAGAGATAAAAATGTCACACTAGGGCAGTAGAGTTCTTTTCTAAAGCTGCTGCAGAGAACAAGCATGATGCTGATCCAAAGTACCCCAGTTGGGTAAATCTTCCTTCTCTCAACTCCAATGTGTTTTATCTTTAGGAATACAAATCCAGCCTTCCCCCAAAAAAGAGCATTCGATTAGAAGAATCGGATGACTAGTGTTCTTCAGTGTAAATGTGGAAAAAAAGAACATATAACATTATGCTTTCTTTAATTGTTCAATGCAAATACAATACAACCTTTGTATGGAGCCTTTTACATCGAGAAGACATCCAAAGGCACTGGACAGTCAGGGATTTGGACCGGCAGGGGGTTTGGGATCAGGGAAGATGGAGGGCAGGAAGGGTAGGTGTAAGAGGGTGGATAAAGATGCGGTCGAAGAGGAAAATGGAAGTTACTAAAGTATTTAATAGGTTAATCTATGTCCTCTTGCACAGTGCTCAAAAATCTTTACTGAAGGATTAAGGAGGCAGCAGATGCCTTTAATTAAGTATTGGCATCTTGAAGCAGCCCCTTACAGTTGGAGTTGAAATGCATAGACCATGAAAAAATGCTAACCAGGGAATTTCTGTTGTTGTCAGGTTCAAACAAGTTTGTGCCAACTTTTTAATGCCATTTTCCCCATTTGGAGAACTTGATTCTTTAAGCTGAAAATTAGCTTAGTTAAAAAAGACAGCAATGAGACAACATATTCATTTTTTAAATAAACTTCAGCTGCAGAACTCCATTATATTTTTATCTGCGTCAAAATGACATACAATCATTTCAAGCAGAATTGCTTGGTCCTTGGTTCACCAATTAACTTCTGAGGCTCATTCTTCACAATTCAGCTCAGAAAATGCTAACCTTCTGGATGCAAGCATGTCCAAGGCTGTATTTTTATCCAATATCTGTGTATTCTGCCATTTTATTTAATAGCTCTCGGTACAAGTAAAGGTCTAGAAATAGAGTATCAAGCATTGTTTAAAAAGTTCCAATCTGAGTTTAGCTTGTTTGCAGTTTCAGTAAGTACACAGACAGTAGAATAAACAGTCTTCAAATTATAGTCACTGTGAAAGATCTTTCAATCCTGTAAAATACTAATGATTAATTCTAATTCAAGTAGTTTGTTTAATTGTTATTCTATTGAATAAACACAAGTTCAATGTTATTAGCACAGCAAATGTTCTGGTTGTTTAAGAATTGAGCCAAATTATGTCCTATGAGTATCATGTGTGTACTCAGCTAATAAAGATTCAGAACAATCCTGTCCTACAGTGATAGTCCTCATATATGTAGTAGTTCCTATTGTGGGCTATTTTGACATTAAGGTGAATGCATGTCATGCACCATGATATTCTGCATTGGCATCTTTTAGAAGACTCATTTGTCGCTGTATAATGTGTAGTGATGTAGTGACTGGATTTCTGAAATGTTGCACTGGTATGAATGATCATAATATTATAGATAGCTCCAAAGTATCATCCTGATACTTACAAAGATTGAAAATGTATGTTGGGATTCTCGTGTCTGGTGTCAATATTAGAATGTGTTTTGTGGTCTATATTGCTGCATCTGATGAGTTCTTAAATCTTGTCCTGCTACATTAAGAGGTGCAATCAAGAGGCATGGATTAACATAGAGAAGTGTGAAAGTCAGAGAAACCGCCACATTTTTACCTGAGCAGCATTAGCTAGTAACTAAATTATGCGTCATGACCAACACTATTATGTTGTCTCTAATACCTAGGATTAAGATCAATCCCACATGTATTGGTTTGTGTTTCAAGTGGCTTGGCTAATTCTCTGGAAATGGTATCAGCGTACTTTTTGGGGTACTTTTTTACTCACATCTAACCTATGCTACATTTGATTTGATATAGGTTAGAGGCACCAAGAGAATACAGAATATGTGAAGCATGTTCTCATTACATTTTGTGTCAATTTATCTAATTCATAACATTATTGCATCTGGTTGTGGGTTCAAGCCAGCCAGGATTTGAGATCATAGTCTCGAGACAGTTTCAAATGCTATCGTTTGAATGAGACTTTAAAGATCCCGGGACACTATTCAAAATAGAAAGGACTTTCCCCAAGATTAATTGTTCATTCAGCTCATCAATGTTTGTGGGCTTGCTGTCTGCAAGATCTGTTGTGTATGCCCCAAAAATATTACTATTCAATAATAATTTGTGAAGGACTTACATTTTTTTAAAAACTTGATAAAGTGCTATGCAAGTTCTTTCAAACCAAATATGAACATTTGTTGATATACTGGAAGACAATTAATTATAATTATTTCACAAGAGGGCAATTTTCAAAGCTGCAAGGCCATTTGCAAGTCAGTCTTCCAACATTCTTATGCTTACATGCTGCAATGAAATAATATGCCTCTGTGGTTACAAGAAGCCTGAAAGATTTTGCAGTCCAGCCAAGCCAGGTGTGCTTTACTCCCTTTGAAACTTTGCATTCCTCACCTTCATATTGTATAATGTGTACTTGTGATTTAGACTTTGTTCCAAATATTTTCATTTTAGTTATGTTTCATGGTTTGTGACATTTCTGTGCATACCCAGACATCTTTAACCTGTGAGTTATTTACATTCTTAATAGTAATTGCTTGGGAATGTCCAGATGCATTATGGATCAGAAGATGTTATTTAATATGCATCAAATAATCATTTTGTTTACAAATACAAATCACTTCCCTTTACAAAGTTGTAAAGCGCTTTGTCTGGTGCCTTTCCTCCCAACTTGAAAGGTACTGTACCAAATGCAAGAATTATTATTATTGTGTTTAAATTCCATTACCACGGGACCTGGATTGAATTGCATAAATTAACAGTAACAGGACAGATTAGCACTCTTTTGCTGGAGAGTCAGGTTCAAATTCTGCCAAGATTAATGATAAAGGTCTTCTCTCTCTCTGCTGGCTTTAAAGGATAACAATTTCAACCAGCTTAATTGTGGGTGCAAGAGGAGACCCTAACCCAAAACAGTGCTAAGTTAACATTCACTCAGAAATGCAGTATGTGAAAAAAAAACAATCATACTGGTGGTTTCAAGGTTGCACTTTGAATTTAGCGTTAAATTTGGGACATAGTAAAGGGAGCTTTACTCTGGATCTAAGATATGCTAAGCAGCAGTATTGCTAACATCGTTTACTAAATGTAAAGTGATTAATACTAATACCATTCTGAAGAATATTCATTTCTCATCTGGAGAAGATGTAGCACCTGCATGGAATTTAAATACCCAGGAACTGCAATTGTCTCTAACTTGCCTGATCCTGGGCTGTCACCCAGAGGCCAGAAGTGGTATCAGTACCCAAATACTGTATCACAACGTAGTGGATTGATTTCAAATTGATTTCTAGTAGATTTTGCCTATACAGAAGAACTCACTGAAATAAGCAGTGGAAACAATGCAAATGTAATAATCTGGAATACAAGTGTCTCTCCTTAGTCCCTTGCTGAAATTTAGAATTCAGCGATTATACTTAACGTTTGCCTGCACCATCTCATCACACTAAGTGCAGGTATCCATTGAACAGAAGATAAGAAAACTCAGAGGCACGAGATGATAGCTGCTGGAAAACATTTAATGGAATCCGAGTTTGTGAACACTCATTCATATGTTGGATTGGAAACCACCTTGATTGGTGTGCAGAGATAAGCAGCTGCTAGTCAAGCTTTACACCTCCAACTGGTGGAACCATCGCTCAATGAGTAGGAATGTGTTTCCAAGCCGTAGGAAGGAAGATATGGTAGTCATGCTCTCTAGCTCTGCTGCTCACATGAAGCTTGCAGGGAGTTCCTGGTGCCTGTCCTCCACCTAGTGACAAGCTCAAATCTTGTTGAATATCAAATGATGAACTAGTAACTATCCTCCCGGGAGGGTTGAGATGAGCTCGCTCCAAGATATGCTTGGCAATGGAGTTGGTTTTATCCTGAATTGCCTGCGCTGAGCGCATCGTTTGACAGTTCAAAATGTTCTCCTCTACCGTTCAGTCAAAAAACAAAACAGCTTGTGCAATTGCTCCTTTCGCACGGAGGAAACAGTTAATTCTCCCTGGGTTGTTGGGAACAAGATGATTTTTTTTCAAATTAACTTAAAACTAGTCTAATGACAAATGGCTCGCTCTCAATGACAAGCTATACCGTTTTCATCGGGCTGAATTCCAGCTGCACGCAGACAAGACAACCCTGAATCCCTAAGCTTTGGCTCTTGCCAACCTGCACCGAATGCTCTCCTCAATTAGGTAAGCAACATGCAACCCCTCCAGGGAGAAAGCGAGCATTCTGTTCCAGACGCAGGAAAATTTCCAGCGCCTGAACAGGCCAAACGGCCCAATCGGTCCGTCCCGGTGTTTATTCTCCATAGGAGTTAAAAATACGGTTTGGACGTGTTTAAACACGCTGCTGCAAAATTCCACAGACTCATCCAATTGACTGCCAACCCCAGAAAAAACACACCCATGGAATGGACAAAGACTAATGCACTCGTATACTTGTAAGTTGTTCAGTTCAATTGCTGAACCAACACATTGTTCACAAGCCAAAGGTTTCTGGTTCTTCTAACCAGCGCTCTATCGGAGCACATCCTTCTCGATTGCTGCCTCACTCCACACTGATCGTGTCCCACTCCGCGTGGGGGGGAGGCGGGGCTTGGGTGGCGTTGAGGTTCATGACGTATCCCTCTCCCATTGGTCGCGTGGTGGAACTTGATCACAATCCGGCGTCCTCACCCACACGTCCACAGGCTGAGCCCTCCGCCGCGCAGGCGTAGTGTTGCGATCTCCTCTTCCGCCGCCGCCGTCGCGGGTTGGTGGAGGCGGTTGGCCTGTAATGAGGCACGCGCTGGGAGGGAGCAGCCGTTAGTCTTTGAACCGGCGCTGCGAGCGGCGGCCTCCAACCGGAGAACATGGCCGCCGTCATCAACAAAAGCAAGAACGGGCGGACGGTGATCGTGCGGCATCTCCCGGCCGAGCTGGCGCGTAACGAGAAGGAGGAGCTGCTCCAATGCTTCGGGGCCGAGTCTGTCCGGGTCTTCTCGGACAGGGGCAGAATGGTAGGGTCAGAGCCCGGGGCCGGCGGCCTAGTAGCCGGAGTGGTGATGGTGACGGCGGCGGAGGAGGAGGAGGATACTCCCCCCCCCCCCCCCCCCCCCCGCCCCCCCACCCGTCAGGAGCACCGTCAGGCGCTCTTTGATGTTATCCGACTTGAAGGGCAAGTTGTTGTAATGGTTGTTTTTGGGGTTAGTTATTGGGCCAACACCAGGAGCGATGTGTCAGGTTTATACCGTGAGATGGGGAGAAAGAGTCAACTTGATGGGCTGCTAAGCCTTGCCATTTTCTCTCTTTCCCATGTCTTTTATTTCTGCGCGTTGCAGCGCTTCTTTTTTTTTAAAAAAAAAGACACCTCAACGACGTGGTAAGGTGTTCCATCAAATGCGAGGATTGTTATGACTGTTATTTCGATGTGCGAAAAAATGGGCACACCACGATCGTAGGATCTCCTACTCCTCCCTCTGCAAGCTGCAGATCATCCAGAATCTCTGCAGCCCGTGTCCTCTCCCGAACCAGGCTCCACGACCCTATCAGCCCCATCCTCTGAATCTCTTTGAGACGCCTCGAAGACGTGATAAGGCGCTGTACCAAATGCAAGAATTATTATTATGCTCACCCACCTTCACTGGCTCCCCATCACACAGGAGGGAGCCTGGTCGTCCCCTTCAAAGCCCTCCACGGCCTCGCTGTTCCCTACCTTTGACCTCCTACCAACCTGTCCGATCCCTCCGCTCAGCGGGTTCTGGCCTGCTTCACGTCCCCACCTTGCCTGCCCCACCATTGGCGGGTGGGCCTTCACCCTCTCTGCCCCCACCCTCTGGAACTCCATCCCACAGCTCCTATGCCTCGCACCCTCCCTTGCCTCCTTCCAGACCTGTCTCAAGACCCTCCTCTTCGACCACGCCTTCAGTCACCTCTAGCCTTCCCACCCTCCACCCCTCCTGATCCGAACCACCAGCTCACGTGCGGATCCCAGACTGTCCAGCGCCTTGGGATATCCACCTGACCTGAAGGCGCTATACAAATGTAATTTGTTACTGTATGACATCTGCCAGCTGAGCTGGTATCGTGCTCTACCACTATCGAGCGCTCTGGGACCCTGCTCTGCATGAGGGGTGCTATATAGGTGCAAGTTGTTGCTGTGAGAAGGATTCGCTGCTCGAGCACTTGGGGCCTGTATCTATTATTGTTGTAATAAGCGTACTGTTATGGTGCATGTCGGCTGGAAATCCACAGCAAGTTGACTAGCCTCTGAAAGAAAACAAACACTCTGGGCCTGACCCTACACCAGTGCTCAGCTCAGTCAGAGTGGTGGGAGACACTGACGAAAACTAACCCTGGGAAGAGTGTACACACTGCCCTGATCTAATTGGTAACAATATCTATTTTCAAGACCGTTAACACTGCAATTTCTTTTATTTACAGAAACATACTGCTTTTGCTACTTTTCCTTCTGAAAATGCAGCTGCAAAGGTAAAAGTAAATTAAATGATCTCTAGCTGGACACACAGCAGGAAGCTCATCAATGCTCTGCAACAGTAGGCTGTGTGATTTTTAACGAGTTAAACTCCCGTAGTACTCTGGGGTTTCCAAGCCTAAACTCTTGTCGACAAGTGCCTAAATTCTCCAGTATTAGCCCAGCAATTTTTTATCACAGTCTGTGTTAAAATCTAAGCAGTGATGCAAATTTCATTTATATGTAATTTATCAACCTAATTTTGAAGGATGCATAAAGAAAAGGCATACCTGGACAGTAAAGTAGAAAGATACAATTGAAAACCACAAGAGAGTGAGTCAAGTGCATTTAGTATAGTTGAAGAGGAAACATGTGAATAAAAGAAATAGAAAATAAATATAGTTCACCCTGGTCACTGTTGTCTGCATCCAGCTGAACATTTACATTTTTTTTCTAGTGCATAGATCCTTTAATCTTTAATGTGTGAAGCTTCAAATCCCTTTTCTCTGTTCAGCCTAAGCGACTTCTCCACATATGCATTTTTTTGTCATGTACCCAGTTTTTTTTTGATAAATAAAATATACTTCTATCTTCCTTTGGTGTATGGCACAATCCAATTAGTCTGTGCACTAGAATTAATTGGAAGCTGCTTTTTTTTCAATTTTGCCACTCCATGTAAAATGGATGAGGTATAGATGAGGTAGTAATGTCTGCTTTGAAGAACTGATGAATCAGATTTCTAGTTCAGAACATGAAACTCGACTTAGACAAATGGCAATGACAAATGGAGTCGTGTAGCTCAGTGATTAGAGCACTTGCCTCACAAGAGGCATTTCCAGGCAGGGCGAAACCTTGGGCAAGTTTCCTTACTCCACACGCCTAATAATAATCCCTCCAAAAAAAAAAAAAAAACAATAATAAAATTGGTCATTTTCAATCTACGACTGTTTGTGGGACATTGCTGTGCGCAATTGGCTGCCGCGTTCGCCCACAAATATACAGTCAATTCACTTTACAGTGTGTTCTGTGAAGCGCTTTGGGACGTCCTCCCGACGTGAAAAGCGCTATATCAAATGCAAGGATTATTATTATTATTATTATTAAGAGAGAAACCTGGGTTCGATTTCCGGCAGTGAGAAACCCTTGGGCAAGTTTCCTTACTCCACACGCCTGATAATAATCCCTCATTGGAAAAAAGGTAATAAATTGGTCACTTCAATCCACAACTATTTGTGGGACATTGCTTGCGCAATTGGCTGCTGTGTTTTGCCCACAAATATACAGTTAAGTCAATTTACAATATATTCTGTGAAGTGCTTTGAGATGTCTAGAAGATGTGAAAATCACTATATCAAATGCAAGTATTATAATGTATTTTCACCATTTGATTTCAATTTCATTGAAAACAAAGTTCAATCTAAATTATTCTTATAACTTGCTTTAGGCTTTGACCAGGCTACATCAATTAAAAATCCTGGGTCACACTCTTGTGGTCGAATTTGTGAAGGAACATGTACATTTACCAGATCAACCGAAGCCCATCGATAAAAGCATGTGGTATGTTTTCCAGTTGGGTAATTTCATTATTTGTGTACCGAGTACAGAGTTGGGTGTGTGCTGAATTGACCTTTGGATGAGGCATTAAAGCAATACCTATTCAGATGGATGCAAATAAACTTGTTCATTCACTTCATGGGTATTTGTAGGACATTGCTGTGTGGATATTGTCTGTTTTGTTTGCCTACAAATATGCAGTCACTACACTCCACATTAAATCCTGTGAAATACTTTGATGTTTCACCAACACAATGAGCTGCTATATCAAATGCAAGGATTATTGAAATTTGTATTAATGATTATTTATAAGATGACCCTTTATTTCAATTCAGTATTTATTTCATTTTAAGACTTAATTAACCTTATACATATCTTAAATTTGTTTTTCTATAGTGAGGATAAAACTTTGCGTAAAGATGTCAGAGAGACTCTGAAGCCAAGTGGACCCGTTATAGAAAATGGGATTGCTCCAAAACTTGGGTTAGTATTATACCCACAAATGAAGGCTATATTTTGAAACCAGGTTTAAGTGATTTTTGGTTTTCATTGAAATATTTTGATTTGTACACGTTACAGTAAAATTGTGAAAGCAGGGAATATGGTTGTATTTGTACAATAGTAATTGTTTATTTTTGTTGCTATAGTAAATAAGGGTTTAAAATAAAACCTATGTTTTGCTCTTCATATTTGAGACTACTTCAGTAAATAGCTAATCAAGCAAAGTGTTCCAATAATATTTTGATATGTTTTCAAAATTCATATATTGGTGGGAAGTTCTGAATATCATGACAAATTCTGAAATGTTGTACCTTATTCATTTGTATTTTTTTTAAATGTTTTATTTTCCAGACTAATCCAGCCCATGAATCCATGCTTGAAATATTTGTATCCTCCACCCACAAGTGTAATTTTGGCAAATATTGCTAATGCCATGGCAAGTGTACCAAAATTTTACGTTCAGGTAAAATATTTTATTTTTTAACTATATAAAATGCATCTGAAATTTGGACAAAGTGCTTGTGTAAGTAATTTTTTCCTTTTCAAGAAGACTGATCAGTTACATCATGACAGTTTGACTGTGTGATTTTATTTCATATCAAATTTCATACATTGAACCTGCAATTCTGGTATTCAGTATTTTTTTAAATTGGGCATACTGGAAACAAATTTACAAAGTACTACTGTATCAATGGCTAGTCGTTGACAGTTGTTTTGTTGTGGGGAATGAAATTCACATTTTTCTAGATGAATGGAGGAGATCTAGGTTTTCTACAGATCAAAGTACATACTTTTGCAATATTAAACATATTTCAATTGTGTTTAGGTTCTTCATCTGATGAATAAAATGAACTTGCCAGCTCCTTTTGGACCGATCACTGCCCGCCCTCCAATGGTAAAATTATTTATGGCAATCATTGTTTGATGCATACAATAGAAAAGAGAAATTGGTGCATTCAAGTGTCAAATTTTGAAAACGTATTAACATAGAAACAGGAGGAGGCCATTCAGCCCCTTGAGCCTGTTCCACCATTCTACATGGCTGATCTGTACCTCGAGTCCAATTACCCAACCTTGCCCCATATCCCTTAATACCCTGACCTAACAAATATTAATCTGCTTGTATTCACTTGCAGCTGCATTTTTCGTTTATATGCACAATTATTAAAATTTAACCCGTCTTAAGTATAATGCTGGAAGAACAAACGTGAGGCTTTTGTTTTTGAGAGAGCTTCGTTCTGCAGATATTAAGTAAATGTTATTGCATTCTTAGTATGAGGAGTATTCTCCTGCCCCTCCTCCAATGCCCCCATTACCTCCAGAAGAACCTCCTTTGCCTGAAGAAGAAATGGATGTTTCAAGTGAAGAAGAATCAGAATACGAAAGTGGAAGTGAAGAAGACAAAGAGAGGTTGGTAATATCTCTTAAATTGGTCAGGAATATGAAAGCATTAACAGTGTTTGAAGTACTACCTTGAAATCTATATTTAGACTTTGAATTGAAACTGAAACCAATCTATTGGAAAATCGAATAATCTAAACTAAGTATATTTTAATTTTATAACTTGTATAGTTTTACTGCAACTCTGACTTCACGTAAGTCGTATTAAATGTTATGGTCCCGACTGATGTGACTTCTACTGAGCTTTACTGTACTACTGTATTGCTGTGCATTACCTACTCGATTGGGAGCATTAGAGAAGCTGCATTTTTTTCATTAGAAATGTTTGTTAAAGAAAAATGCAAGTGAGGATGGGATATAGGAAGGAAAAAATGTATGAAACACACAATTTATTTTCTGCAACCTTTTTTTGAACTGTAGAATGATACGATTGTTGGGATTAGCCACTCTTCCACCGAAACGGATACTGAAAAAGAAACTATCTTCAGTCAGAAAGCGTCCAAAACTGAAGGATTTGATTAATGTACCAAAAGCACCTTCCCAAAGGTAAGACTCAAGTATTTAAAACATTTTCTCTATGCAATGGATTTTGTTTCTATGACATTAGAAGCAGTTGAGATGCTCTGTGGTGAGTTAGCTTGTAAAGCAATGCACATTTGTAAATTAATTTTTGCATCAAATTTGTCCAGTGCCTTGGGATGTTCTCCTGATGTGAAAGGTGCTATACAAATGTAATTTTGTTGTTATTTTAACTAAACATAGATTTTTGTATCACTGGAATAACGTTAAATAAATTAGACATACTTATTGTACGTGATTGCTTGTTTCATTCCTGTTCTATACCCTTCAGTACTCATTCAGCTGTGCCACCATCTGAAGTTTTTGAACAACCACAGACTCACAGTCAGAAGAAAATTGCATTCCACATTTCTGCTGATGTTGTGGGTTTGCTAGAGGGTGGGGTAGACCGTCAAGAAGGTAGGAAATCACTAAATATCTGTACCGAATTATCAGTTTGTGGGAAAATGTCTGTCTTCATTTGTACCAATGCTCAATTATAATTATTTGTACCAATGTTCAATTGTCCCAGTGCTCAATTATAATTAGGAACCAATGGGCTCCTATTAATTGTGATATAGTGATATTGTTCTTTAAAGTACTTAAATATTTAATTTCTTATTCTAACCATCCAACTTCCCATTGATAATTAGATCTGAATTTGGATTGGTGATGATAGTGGTAATGGATTCTGTTATTATTGGTGATAAGAATTTGGCAGATGGTTTAATAATGGCTGTACCCTATGACTTGAAATTATTATCCATTATCCTTTTGTTTTCTTGATTTGCTAAAGTTTTCAGCAACCCAATATTTAAAGCCATAACTGAAATCCATTGCAAACAAGTCATTTCATAGTAGCGTTAATGAAAATAAATCTATTCCCACTTCTATCAACTTCAAACATGTCTTAAAAGTTCAGTGTTCTTCAGAGGACAACTAACCAATGCTCCATTTTTAGAGCAAGAAAATACAGCTGAGGCCCAATCTATAGGATTTGGTAAAATCCATCCGACTCCTGTTTATTCTAAAATTGAAGAGGATGAGGAGGAAGAGGAGGAAATCCTTACAGAGTTCATTTCAAGGAGGGATCTAGCAAAGGGAAGGATCAGTAAAGAAGGTATGTGGAGTAGAGAAATGCTTTATGTCAAGATGGCTGTTTATGTGTTATGTTTCACATTTATTCCCTCTTTATCCTATGAGGACAACATCACCATCGATGGTTGCAAATTCCACTTTACTAAACCTTTTTTCTCCAAGCATTTCATTGGGATAACAACCTAAACCATTAGCTCAAAGTTTTGGATTTTTTAAAAAAAAAACAAGACCTTGGGGTCTTGTTTGACCCTCAACTATCCTTTCTACCCCATATCTGTGCCATGAGCCGCTCTGCCTTCCCACACCTCCGCAACATCACCTGGCTCTGCCACTGACTCACACCGCATGTCGCTGAAACCCTCATACACGCTTTCATTACATCAAGGCTTGACTGTAAACTCCTTGCCTGTCGGTCTCCCCAACTCCTCTCTATAGGCTGCAGATCATCCAGAACTCTGCAGCCTGTGTCCTCTCCCACATCATGTTCTGTGATCCTACCTCCCCCATCCTCGCCCGACTCCACTGGCTTCCCATCACACGGAGGATACAGTTCAAGAACTTTCAAAGCCCTCCATGGTCTTGCTCCCGCCCCCCCCCCCCCACCTCTGCGACCTCCTAATTCCCTGCTTCATGTCCCCCGCCTCGCTCGTCCCACTTTTGGTAGGTGGGCCATCTGCCACTCTGCCCTCACCCTCTGGAACTCCATCCCGCAGTCCCTCCGCCTCACCCCCACCCTTGCCTCCTTCAAGACCCATCTCAAGAACCTCCTCTACGACCATGCTTTTGATCACCCTGCTTCCCCCCCCCCCCGATCCCAACCCCCAGCTCGGTTCCAAAACTGACTGTCCAGCGCCTTGCGACGTCCTCCCGATGGGAAAGGCACTATACAAATTTTGTTTTTGTTAGCTTATCTTTTCTGATCTTAAAAAAAAATAGTATCCCAAACTTTGAGTTAATGGTTTAGGCTGTTATCCCAATGAAATGCTTGGGGAGTACTGCTATCCTTCAGAGGTGCTTTCCTTCAGATGAAATGTTATAGCTAGGGTTCCGTCTGACTGTTCAGGTTGATGATAAAGATCTAGCACAATTCAAAAAGAGGAACGTAGTTGATACATTTTACAGAAAACGTCTGAAGCACTTTGAGACATTTTAACATAAGATGCTGTAATAAAGTATTATAATCAAAAAATCTTACACATCATAAGTCGTGTTGAATGCATTTAAAAAATATATAATTGCAATATTTTATTTTCCAAGTAAAAGTGAATACTTGATATTTTCCCTCTGTTAAGTATAAGATACAAAATGTGTCTCCAGAAATTAATTTTTTTTTACTTGTAATAGAAATTGAAAGCATATCAGTCTTTAAAAAATATTATCCGGGAGAACCAACATGCAGACTGTATGTAAAGAATTTATCCAAACAAGCTGAAGAAAAGGTATGCTGAACTTGTTTTTAATATGTTAATATAAATATAAATTTCTATAAATCTCAGTCAATTTGCCATTTTGACATTCCGATCTCCTTTTAGGACTTGAAATTCATCTTTGGAAGATATATTGACTTTTCATCAGAGACTGAAAGAAATATGTAAGACCTTATTACCATTACTTACTTGGTTAATCATGCTTTGAATCCATTATGCATAGCAAGCCAAAGCAAAACTTCTTTGGCAATAACCTAGAAGTTGGCAATTCTTTTTCATGCCCCGCTTGCAATGCTTGCTGAGGCAATGGACTTGGCTGGCTAAGCTACAGAAAGGTTCTCTGCATCAATTTTTTCTTGTGATTGCTTGAAATTCAAATGCATGTGCATAATTTAGAAAGCTGTAAAAGCAATTGAGTGCTTCTGGTTCATCACCAGAGGGAACACAGTCCACACCAGGACATATCGAAGTCTTGCAATTAGTTTGAAGCTATAAAACGTCCTGAAATCTTTCTTTAGACAATGATTATCTGAGTAAGAAATGCCCTATGGATCCCTGAGCCTCTGGATAATTGGATTTTCTCTCCTCTCTGCTTGTGTAAAATAAATAACTTTAAAATTACCCTTTGTTTCTATATAGGTTTGATATACGTTTAATGAAAGAAGGACGTATGAAAGGACAAGCGTTTATTGGCCTTCCAAATGAGAAATCAGCCATAAAAGCCTTAAAGGAAGTAAATGGATATGTTCTCCAAGAGAAACCGATGGTAGTTGTATCCTTTTAGAAAACAAACAGAATCAGAATTATCAATTGATACGGTCAGCAAAAAATGTGTGACTTTGTTCTCCTTCACAAGTAATTTTTTTTTTTCTTTCTCTACCCCCCCCCTTACTCCTCCACTACTTGCTAAGCCTGCTGTCGTTAGGAAAATTATACTAAGGTTGTTTCTTTATTAAACACCACACATGGATTGCTTGCATCTGCTCGAATGACTTAACCCTGAGTCACTTGATGTTGAGGTTATCAGTCCTGCTGATGGACAAGTTTTTTTTTAACGTTTCATGTTACCCTGCATGGTTTAGCAGTATAAGCTTGATCAACAACATAATATTTATATAGTGCCTTTCGTGTCTGAAGGATGTCCCATTGCGCTGTTTGGTTGTTTGTTGCCCTTCTGAACTTCATTTATCTGTTTATTTTTATTCTGATTGACAGTTAATGTTTTACTACTTAACACCTCAAGTTACAATAACAGTAAATGACATTATTTATGTGACCATTTAGTGGACAGGCAATTTGCAACTGATGATTTGTACTATTCAGTATAAATAGTTTATCGCAGAGCTTGAACTCCGAAGAAAGTATGTTAATCAAAAATGCCCAGATCCCCAGTCTAAAATGTTATTGCTTTTAGCAAACATAGACATGGAGCAGGAACCAGCTTTCTTACAATAAATGTAATGCTCATTTTTAGTTATTTGGTACAGTTGAAGGAATGTTCTCTCAGGAGTGAATGGTTTCTCAAATGAATTGGCTTTTTGTCTAATTTTGTTTGTAGAATGTTGCTAGTACAATTTAACTGTATATTTGCCTGCATATCATGAACTTAATTTCTAAAAAAGCTAATTCTGTATCTTTTACATGAAAGATGCTACATATAGTATATATAATGCTTAGTTGCTGTTTCATGTATGGCATGATCCTTAGCAGTTATTCAGCAATTTGCTCGGTCTGCAAGACCAAAACAAGATTTAACTGAGGGAAAAAGAAGCAAACAAAAATGATGGTCATTGGGTCAGTATCCTTTTTTTATGTAGGTTTTATGCTGATTGCATTATTATAGTAAATTATGATTTGAGAACAGTTGTAAGAATAGTTGACATGTTTTTTCTTGGTTACAGTTCAAAGCATACACTTTGTATACAGTAGGCCAGTTGACCAAATTTGGAGGATTATTAAATGTATCCTTTCTTATGTATCCTTTATTATGTCATAAAAGTAATGCAGCAAAAAAGGTATTGCACTAATTTAGTTAGGAAAAACAAGGTTAAGATAAAAGGTAAGTAGCAGATGATGGGCCAGTGTTTTTTTCACATGCCTGAAAGGTCAGCAACCTACAGTTGAAAGTTGCAAGTTCTGATCTTTCATTGAGTGAAAAACTTTATCCTGCTTATGTGAACCATAATGTTGAAGAAAAATAAAAGGGTATTTTAAATGTTATGAATTAATGAAATGTCTGGGCGTCTCCCACAGAATAATAGATATTTCTAAAATGCTTTGGAGTAACTTGAAATAGTTCAGTGCTGGTGAAATGATGAGATTGGGTACCACTGCATTTGCTTTTTTTTTGATGACCTTTACCAAAGTTAGATTGTATACATAAATTTGAGACCCCTTTTCCTTTGAAAGTGTAATTGCTCCATTGATGTTCATTTTGCTGCATTGAATTTATTTGTTCATTTTGCTGCATTGAATTTATCAGTAGCATGTTTCCTTCCATCCAATTTACTGTCCTAACAGCAAAAGAGAAAGCAGAGGGGGAGAATATAAAACGGGGGAAAATACAATGGTACAAAACTATTTGAATTCACCCCTTTCCTGCTTTGATTTAACATATTCGACCAAATCCTGAACCTATAAGCTTGTATATCTCTTGCATAGTTCATCTCAGTAACAAGTTGTACTGTGAGGTGAATGGCAGAATCATTTGTTGAAATGAAATCAGAATATATGACAATGTTATGCAAGTAATTTGGTCTAGTTCTGTATTGGAATGTATAGGCTGAATATTTACATATCTATGTACAGTATCTGTAAGAACGTTCAATATCTGCAGTGTTTTGCAAATTCTTATTTTTATTATTTAATTCTCTTTATTTAACCATTGCAGTTTCTGTTCTAAGGGACTCTTTTGGGTGATCCTCAGCTTGGAAAATCATTGCTTAGAGAAAATGCCCAGCTAACAGCTGCATGAAGACTGCAAATATTCAATGTCTAAGTCCAGTTTTTTAAGTTATCTACTGAAATTACATTTTACAAGTGTCCTTTCTTATACTTTGTAAAGGTAAGAATGACTTCGTTATGGGCAGGCAATTATGTTAGAATTGTATGTATTTAAATGTTAAAATCACTGTGTGTGTATATATATATAAAAAAAATAAACATGCCATTGTTCAACATAATTTTGATTCAAACTGGCTTGTTTTTTCATTGCAGTCTGTGCAGTGACACATTCGATCTGAACTGTTGCATGGTCGTGCGGCTCAGTTCAATCCTTTGTGCTAAAAGTGGCTTACTGAGTTGTTTCTTTGTGCTGAACAGTTTTAAATTTGTGTGCCAGGTTTTCCATTCATTGCTATCCAGAAACCCCTCCTGGAATGTGCAAGTGCATGGACAGGATTGAGTTTGGCTACGTCTGCCCGCTGCAATCCTGATCCCCATTCCACCATGATCAAGTAACCTGCAAACCACTCATTCATTCTTAAGGTTCATACATGAAGAATGGACATTGGGCAACAGTTCAATTGGGGTGCCTCCAAATTCATTTGCCTCTGCCAACCTCACTATACGCTCATACCCCTGACATAACTATAATTATAGGACCCCTGTCCCCACACTTTTGCTGCTTAAACTGAAATAAAAACTACCCTTTGATTGATCTTATATTGTCAGATTTTTCAGCCTTGATATTGCTCTTGAGAAATGCATCACCAATGAGTTCATGTAGATTATGTTTGTTGATAATAATCCTTGCATTTGATATAACACTTTGCATGTCTTCTAGATGTCTCAAAGCGCTTCACAGAATATACTTTAAAGTGAATTGACTGTATTTGTGGGCAAAACAGGCAGCCAATTGCACACAGCAGTGTCCCACAAACAGTTGTGGATTGAAGTGACCAATTTATTATTTTTTTTCTTGAGGGATTATTATCAGGCTTGTGGAGTAAGGAAACTTCCCAAAGTTTTGCCCAGGTCTCGCTTGGGAGGCGAGTGCTCTAACCACTGAGCTATAGGACTCCACATAAATAGTATTTTTACTTCATGTCCTCACCAGTATGAAAACTTCCCATGTAATTGAATGTGAGTGATAATGTCCTTAATATCATGGATGATAATCTACATGTTTAATCCAGCTCTGAAAGAATTCCAGTTTTGTGTTTTAGGCACTGCTGAATATTCCTTTGTCTGCTTAGATCAATATTGATAGCATCTTATGAAACACTCATAGTTCCCTGCCGTTCCAGTCTTTTGAAGCCTTCACCCATTATTAGCGAAGAGGAAAATATTCACTTCTGTGAGCTGTTAGTTTAAAATCCTTTTTCAGAAAATTCAATACTGACAATTGATGCAGTACCCTTTTGATACCACTACATGTCACTATTGTGCTTTATAATTGTTCTGTGCTCTTTCACAATCGTGACTTTCAGTGGCATAAAATCAATATCAACAGCACCTTCTGTTACAGCTTGCCTCTTGAGATATTCCACACTGGGCTCAACTTGGTTCAAGCACTGCTTGAAATTTGTGTTTCCCAGCATTATCATCATAATTTATTAAATAAAAAAGAAAATAAGTTAAGAAACCACAGCTTGCAAGGTTGGACAATAGCCAGGGGTTTGGACTGATTCACATGGCCAAATATTAACTTGCTTTTTAGAATATCAACAAATTGACCAGATTAAACTAGTGTTCAGTCTTGTAACTGGTTGAAAAACCGAACTTTAGAGTCGTGTGGAAAACGGCCTTTAAACCATCAGGCAGTCCAGCCAAAGGCCCTAGTTTATAATAATCATTGCATTTGATATGCAAGTCTATGGGGTAAGAGGGGGAAGTTGGACTAGGTCGCTTTCAAGAACCGGGACAAGTACGATGGCCCGAATGGCCTCTGGTGCTGTAAAATTCTATGATTGTATGTTATGTCCTGGCTATTCCAGTGTATTTAACATGAAAGAGTTATAGGTTTTAAGTGTTTTTTTCAGATGCAAATGTTCATGCTGATCATTTCCAACATGTGAATAGAAGGGTAATTGAATGTCAAAAAAGCAGTGAATAAGAATCGACCAGCTTTTCTACCCTACATCTGTTCCATGAACCGCTCTGCCTTCCCCCACCTCCGCAACGTCGCCTGACTCCACCACACACCGCAGAATGAGGCATTAAATATAACATCCAGGCTTGCCTATGCAAGCTCCCTGCTTGTTGGCCTCCCCAACTCCTCCCTTCATAGAGTGCAGATCATCCAGAACTCTGCAGGCGGTGTTCTCTCCCGCACCAGGCTCTGTGACCCTATCAACTCCATCCTCGCCCAACTCCACTGGCTTCCCATTACAAAGAGGATACAGTTCAAGATCCTGGTCTTCGTGGCCTTGCTTTCCCCCTACTAACCTGCCCACTCCCTCTGCTCAGCAGGCTTCACGTCCCTTGCCTCGCTCGCCCCACCATTGGCAGAAGGGCTGCCAGCAACTCTGTCCCACAGTCCTTCTGCTTTGCTTCCTTCAAGATCTGCCTCAAGACCCTCCCCTTCAACCATGCCTTCAATCACCCTCCCTGATCCCGCCCACCAGCTCGAGTCTGAAACACTGATTTCCAGTACCTTGGGACATCCAACACGAAAGGCGCTATACAAATATAATTTTGTTGTTGCTAAGCTGCAGAACCGCCCACAGCAATGCTGGTAAACACAACTGGGTCATTAAGCACCACAACAAAATCGTTAACGAAGGTGTAATGAGGTATAGTCCTCACCACGACAGGGTTTATCAACGCCGATTTGCAACAGAAATATATGACGAAAATGAAGTGCAACAGCAGTAGATTAGCTGGTGACTGTTATGGAGCTGAAGGTCCTTCATTTTTGAACAGATTGCCTGGTAATGTTGGCGGCTTAGAAGAAAACCAGAGAAGTCAATGTGATCAGCCACAATGGTCAAAGATTGAGGATGCACATACACAAAAAGTGCAATGTTTAGAAAAGGAATATAAGGGTACAGACCACACTCTCTTGTATTAATAGCTACATCAACTGGATAACATTTGATAACATGGGCACAATTATTGTTTCCTTGAGCAGGAATTCAGCCCCAGGATGGGATACCGATGGGATGCCAATATGCACAAAAGTGGTTTGTGCATTATGGTTTCATCTTAGTCTTGTAGACATTTCTAATGGGCATCTGTATGAAGAAACCCATTAAAGTCTTGGTTACTCTCTACTTACCACTTTTCAGTCACCACCAGAATCCAGCCAGACCACCTTGTACCAAGAAGGAAGGAGGTGATGAGGTGTCCACAACATCAATTAATTGTTTTTGATGCAATGTATAAAATTCAAGCCAGACAAGTTAAGTCAGTTATATTTTTTTAAAAAAGTAAATGGCCACATGATATAATGATTGGTTTTAGAAAGTTTTAGGTGTTTAATAATAATCTTTGCATTTGATATAGGACCTTATCGTGTCATCAAGATGTCTCAAAGCACTTCACAGGATATACTGCAAAATGGTATCTTCTATTTGAGCACCATAAACTGAACTAAAAGTTTTTAATTGAAAATACCTCTTGTTTGGTGAACTCCAGTTTAGTATTTAAACCACCATGAGGATAAGACTAACCCAATGCACTTTTCTGTCCAACATCATCTCCAAATCTATTGTTTGCAAGAGATTCATTACTATGTCATCTTTTTTAATCCATCAACTCATGTGTCCATTCCTGTGGATGGCTTTTAATAAACTAGAGAAGGGGAGAGTCATATTAATTATTTGTGATCAAATATCTTAAGATCACCTGTGACAACTGTAGTGTCTTGTACTCACCTTGATGTTACGTGGAATATCTTTCCATTTTAATCATGAAGATGTAACAATATTGTTGGTATATTCTTAAAGGTGAAAGCAACAGTGGAATTATCCACTCTGTTGAAGTCTGGAACAAGAGGTGCAGTCAGAAAAGGCCAGCTTATTTGTTTAGGCAAAATATAAAGTCGGGAACCTGAGAACCGAGAAACCAGTCACCTGTATTTTATGCTTAATAGATAATTTACTTACCAAGACAAAAATACATATCATTTTACATTGATTCAATAAACCTGCTTACAAGAGGCACGGTTACAATTCATATTCATCTCTTGCTTGAGAACACTGATAATAGCAGGTGTTGAGTTTCTTGTATCATTGAAGTCTGTTGTTCTGATGTTACTGGAACTTGGACAATGATTCAAGTACCAGAAATATGTCCTCACTCTCACCAACTCAGGTTGACAAAGTAGCTCAGCGATACGTCTTTTATATCATGGTTCCTTTTGCCAATCCGTGCAGGCCAACCAGCACGTTGTCACTCACCTGATAATTATGTGGAGTCCTGTAGCTCAGTGGTTAGAGCACTTGCTTTGCAAGCGAGAGACCTGAGTTCAATTCCAGGCAGGGCGAAACCTTGGGTAAGTTTCCTTACTCCACACGTCTAATAATAATTCCTCCAAAACCCAAAACAATAATAAATTAAGTCATTTTCAATCTATGACTGTTTGTGGGACATTGCTGTGCGCAATTGGCTGCCGCGTTCGCCAACAAATATACAGTCAATTCACTTTCAGTGTGTTCTGTGAAGCGCTTTGGGATGTCCTCCCAACGTGAAAAGCGCTATATCAAATGCAAGGATTATTATTATTATTATTATTTAATCAGGCCTGCCTTGGGCTCCAGGCTGACTAAATAAGACAATGCAGGACCAGCAAATAAACAATTAACTCAACAAGTTACAGCTGCACTAACAAGTTCATTTTTCTATTTACCAATTTAATTATTCATCATACAAGGCACAGCATACTGGCATTTTCTCATAACATTTGATCTAGAGTTATGCCGGTTATCCATAACATCTGTCACCCTAAGAGAGAGATTTTGCAACTCAGCTTAATTTAATTGTAGTTCTACAGATCAGCTTGTTACCAGCTCAAAAAAATAAGCATACCTAACAACTAAAACCAAAGCCAAAGTCCTGGTTCTCGCTAGACAAGCAGTGGGAAAGCTTGCTAGACAGCGATATCAATGACAAGCTCTGTTTGTCAAACTCCAGCCGTACACCCAACACCTACGTTGGGATCCCCAATTCTTGGCTCTTGTCAACCTGTGCCTAATACTTTCCAGAATTAGGTAAGCAGGGTGCATCCCTCCAGGGTGAGAGTGCGCATTCCACTACAGCAACCCGCATGTGTAGGTGGGATGTATTGAATTCTCAGTTTTCTTTGGATACTCTTAACCAGGGTGAGGGTTCCACATGTGTCAGATACCCGGCTGACCAAAAAAAACACAATAATTTAAACAGTAATTCACTTCTGACCACCACATGGTACAATAATTTATTTTCCTTTCCAAGTAAGGTATGAGGGTTCATATCGTGTTGAATAGATAACGTGTAGCAAATTGTATATAATAATCCTTGAATTTGATACAGCGCCTCATCACATCTTTGAGACGTCGCAAAGTGCTTCACAGAATATTCTGTAAAGTGAATTGACTGTATATTTTGTGGGTGATATGTGGCAGCCAATTGTGCACAGCAGTGTCCCACAAACAGTTGTGGATTGAGTGACCAAATTATTTTTTTGTAAGGGAACATTACCCCCAGAAAAGCAATCCGCCATTTGACTAACAACCGTGTTCTGAGTTGTGTGGCAAGCTTTATTGCCCAATACAGTCCAATTCCTTTTGAAGTATTCTTGTTTTAAAACATAATGGTGAAATGATTGTAGCAATGGCCAAAACAGTGCAATAATGTAACACATATTTTTGATCTTCCACCCAGTTTAATCATTAATACCTGACCCAAGCTAAATTAGGTCAGGTGTGAAATATATAATTTTTTACACCTGTATGCATCGTTTATCAGACCTGCTCACTGTTGTGACCGATATGAAATGTTTTGCATGCCCATTTGTAATCTTTCAATGTCATCCACCAGTATAAATTTGCCTCAAGACCAAACATTTTACTTTGAAACCAATATGAAGATCTTGGCTCTGTTTGCGATTCTCGGAGGGTGCTTGGCTCAGTTTGGCCCAAACACTTTGCCAGGACGAACATCTATTGTTCACCTATTTGAATGGCGTTGGATAGACATTGCTGCAGAATGTGAGCGTTATTTGGGACCTAATGGTTTTGGAGGTGTTCAGGTAGGTAGTTACCACTCTTCGGTGTTACCAAAATTTTTGCGCATTTTTTTCTGGTGTTTCTTTCTGGTGTTTCGTAATGCTGGGACGTTGAACACTTTCACATTTTGGCCACACAGTGTCAGAATCAAGCACTGCCAGGTATAAGATAATGAAGTACAGAAAAAAACATATCTTCCACTCAACAACGTCTTTGAGGTTCATTTTCAGTTGTATTGCCCACAAATATGCGGTCAATTCACTTTACAGTCTATTCTGTGAAGCGCTTTGAGACGTCGAAAAGACGTGAAAAGCGCTATATCAAATGCAAGGATTATTATTATTATTATATTATATCGTTGACTTCCTCATATGGCAATAATGCAATTTTAATGTCCCTCGTCAGCCATCCAGTTGCCTTTCTGAGTGAGAGTGCCAATTTACTGAATGGACCTGTATCATAAGGCACATCAAATTAATACTGTTAACACCATCGAATGATGGGATGATGATCAGGAAAAATATAATACAATTGTACATAATACAGAATATTGTTATATAGGCAAATCATGAAGGTCAACTGTTATCTGTTTCCTGTCTGCTTTTTGTTGCCTCCATATTTTACCATATGATAAATTTCTGATTGCAGCCTGGCTGGGATCAAAAATGTATCATATGGTAAAATATGAACCAAGGGCACATTACTACTGTGTGGCTGTACATGTCAACACACCAGGGACCGTATTACCAGACTGTTGGTTTCCATTTACTTTAAAAATATAAATACATTTTTATGTGTAACATTGTAACTATTTTGCTGTCAAGTAAAACAAATGCAAATACTTTGTTTTGTGTCCATTTTAATCATAACTTTTCACAGATTTCTCCACCAAATGAAAATATCGTCCTTACTGACCCTTTTAGACCATGGTGGGAAAGGTATCAACCAATTAGCTACAAACTTTGTTCAAGGTCAGGAACTGAAGAAGAGTTCCGAGATATGGTAACCAGATGCAACAATGTTGGGGTAAGTCTGTGAATGGTAATGTTCCCAAATTATTTTCTGCTCAATCCTTTTGGATGTTGGATCGCCCAGTGCCTTGGAACATCCTCCCAATGTGTAAGATGCTATACAAATGAAATTTGTTGTTTTATTTACACGGCAACATATATGTGCTCTGCACTTTCCACCATATACAAATTGCTCTTTCAAATTAACTTGTGTAATTTGAATTACACTACCCTGTCCATGCAAAGGTATTCAGCACTCTTCTCCTGCAATGATAAATTCTAAGACATGTTAACCCTTTTCAGGTATATATTTATGTAGATGCTGTAATTAATCACATGTGTGGAGCTTCTGGAGGATCTGGCACTCATTCAACTTGTGGAACTTACTTTGATGCAGCAACTGAAAGTTTTCCAAGTGTTCCATACACTTCCTGGGATTTCAATGATTCGAAATGCAAAACTGCGAGTGGTAACATTGAAAACTACAATGACAAGTATCAGGTAAACAAAAAAAGAATTTCTTCAGTAGTTTGTACTTCTAGATTTATTCTTCACTCCAAGCAAATGAGCTGCACCATACCAATAGAACAGTGTGCCAATAGTTTTTAAAAATATATATTTTAATTAAATATATTCTGGTATCCTACATCACATGTTAGATATCTAGTGTCAACATTTCAGAAAATATGAATTTTAATATTCACATTTTCTCACATCTGTGTATCAATTTGACTATTCACCAAAATATATAGAATCAAAATTATTTGTGTTATAATCCCTGGAGAAGCACAGAATAAAACATAGCATTTGAATAAGTAAGATAATGAACAATTATTCATAACTAATTACTACAATGCGATACTGTGTGCAAATTGTCTGCTGCACATGCCTACAAAATACAGTCACTGCACTTCATAGTACATCCTGTGAAACACTTTGTAATGTCTCCAGAAGTGAACAGAGCTATATCAAATTTAAGGAATAATATCATTAGAATTGAACCTATTGTGTATTATGACAGGTTAGAGACTGCCGGCTTGTCAGTCTTCTTGACCTCGCTTTGGAAAAAGATTACGTCCGAGACAAAGTCACAGAGTATTTGAATACTCTTATTGATGCTGGTGTAGCAGGATTCCGAATTGATGCAACAAAGCATATGTGGCCTGGTGATTTGAAAGTAGTGTTCAGTAAATTGAAAAATTTACCTACACGTTGGTTCAGCGATGGCTCCAAACCTTTCATTTTTCAAGAAGTGAGTGAAAACTTTGACAAAGTGAAGATTCATCAAGTTTCGAGTGTGCTTTGAAGACTTTCTTTCTATTTCAAATTGTTCTTGTATGTTTCCAATCTCACAGGTGATTGATCTCGGTGGAGAGGGTATTCAAGCGTCAGAATATTTTGACACTGGATCTGTTACTGAATTCAAACATAGTGCCAAATTGGGTTACGTGATCCGCAAATGGAATGGAGAAAAAATGGCTTATTTAAGGCAAGAGAATATTCTTGCTTGCTTTTTTTTTAAAGCTATTGCAGATTTCTGGTGTAATTGTAGTTTTGTTTCTAGAAACTGGGGAGAAGGATGGGCCTTCATGCCTAATGACAAAGCTTTGGTGTTTGTGGACAACCATGACAATCAACGAGGACATGGTGCTGGAGGTTCTTCTGTACTTACGTTCTGGGATTCCAGGTATGTCAAAGATATCAATAGTCGACATTTAGAAATAAACTCAAAAAGATCCCGTTATGTCTTCATACCATTTCATTTGCATTGCAAATTGAATTTTTCCACAGGCTTTACAAAATTGCAAATGCTTTCATGCTTGCACATCCGTATGGCTTCACCCGTGTGATGTCAAGTTTCCACTGGGACAGGTATTTTGTTAATGGAAAGGTAGGTCTTATTTAATGGTACATTTTTGACATATTAATAGCTGTATTTTTGTCCAGTGCCTAATGTATAAGTGAACCTGTACTTCACTTATAACAGGGTCATCCTGTACATTGTCTCATGTGAAAGAAAACATGGCTTGTAAAATTATAAAATGCACCATTAATAATTACTTTGTGAGCAGGTCACTGATACAAGTAGGATAAATAGCATTCAATTGAATTAAAGGAACTTAAAGGAATAGATTTCCTTTGAGGTTCAAGTAACAACTATGGAGAATTTTCTCCAGGAAATTAGGTGGGCAGAGATAAACTTGGTTTCTGTGATCTATGGTTAGAACTACCTTTATGGACTAAATACCCACTTCTTATTTTATATTGTTTGTATCTGATATTTTCGATATATACATACAGTTATATTTGTACGTTTGGATGTGAAAGATTTATCCATTTAAGGGGACTTCACTTTTTATTTTTTCATTTCTCTTTACTAAGGATGTGAATGACTGGATGGGACCCCCAAGCCATAGTGATGGATCAACTAAACCTGTCACCATTAATCCAGACACCACCTGTGGCAATGGCTGGATCTGTGAGCACAGATGGCGTCAGATCAAGTTAGTCCTGTTTTCTTAATTTCAATTTTAATCACAGAGTTGAGATTATATAGGAGAGATGGTAACTGTGCATTTTTTCAGGAACATGGTTATCTTCCGTAATGTGGTGGATGGCACGGCATTTGAAAACTGGTGGGACAATGGAAACAATCAAATTGCTTTTGGACGTGGAAATAAAGGCTTCCTTGCCATTAACAATGATGACTTGTAAGTATTGATGGGCAAAGTAATACAGTAATATAGAAACAAAATTTTTTTTGCTGTTGTAGAAGATTGTAAAGGAGATTATTTTTCATACATTTGAGATAGAAATACATTATTTTTTGAGCAATTCTACAAATTTAGACTCATTTTAGACCTTTTTTTACTGATTGCAATGGAAGTTCATTCAAGGTTTACTATTAGCTTTTCCATTGATTCAGTTGATAATGTCACTGAAGCTTAGCCATAAGACTTAGTTATAGTGTACTCGTTTTCATATGATCAGTTTTGTATTCCAATGTAATCTTCATTTTAGGGTGTATTTCATTTTGCATAAAACAATGTATTTTTCAAATGCAGGAACATGAATGTAACCCTACAGACTGGTCTCCCTGGTGGCACTTACTGCGATGTCATCTCAGGACAAAAGGAAAATGGAAGCTGCACTGGGCTTCAGATCATTGTTGAGGATAATGGAAACGCTCACTTCACAATCAGCAATACTGCAGAAGATCCAATGGTGGCCATTCATGTCAATGCAAAACTGTAATTAAATTCACCAATGAGGCAGGTATATTAATAAAAAGGACTGGAAGCAATTTGATATTCTTCTTATTTTTCAATGAAGTTCAATAAGTTTCAAAGAGAGGCCAGGGAGGTTGAGAAGATCAGAGCCAGACTTGCTCTTACAGGCAAATGGACAGAATACCGGAAGTACTCCATTCTCTTTTCGATTAATGCCATAGGACCTTTAATGTCCATCTGAATAGTTAGATTGGACCTCAGTTTAACATCTCATCTGAAAGATGGCACCTTTGACAATGCAAACCCCCACCCAGAACTGCATTGAAGCATTATCTTAGACTAAGTGATTTCAAGTGCCGATGTGGGACACATCCTGCTTATCTAATTCCAGAAAGCATTGCGCAAAGGTTGGCAAGAACCAAGGCTTGGGGACCCCAGAGTATTATTTTATTAATTTATTAATAAATAGTTACAGATCTATTATAAATAGCATTGTATAATAATCCTGCAGACTATAAATTCTCATTCCTTCTTTGCAATAATTCCAGCTGCTATTATTTAAAAACATGATATAAAGAATTTAAACAATATGTCACCAAAGCCACTAAAGGAAAGTAGCATTAAAAACATATCAGGCTAGCAACATGCCATTCATATTTTGGTTGCTATGCTGACAGTCATGTGTTAAATCTAGACAAGGACCAAAAAAAGAGTAAAGACTGCTGTGTCTATATTTTTTCATTACCAGGCATTTCAGGTTCCTACGCTTGAACTGTCTCATGCATTTAAAATTAATACTAGTGTAGTTCCCAGTATGGGTAAGATAAAGAGAATGCAATAAACTGGAGTTGCTGCCTCTGGTCTCCAGAGCCATCATTAGTGGCACAATATACAAGGGCGAAGCTAACTTCATAATGCATTCTGATAGAATCAAAACATGTAAAATTCTATTTTATTTCACACAATTTCTTTTGTTGAATATAGGTTCACCAGAGGAGATACTAATTATAGCTAGTGTCATGTGCAACGTTATTAATTGGAAGGTAGTGATGTGTTCTGATGGCCTATTTAACAATCCATCCTAATGCTACAAAGATCTATGTGCAAAAAACATTAACTAACTTAAAACAATTTTTAAAGTCAAATGGTGACTTGAATAGCAGTGGCAATTCAGCTCTGTGGTATTAACATGTTAAATCAGATCAATGATTATATTTAGTTTGAACACACTTTAAAAGTTATAGTGGTAATCCTTGTATTTGACACAGTGCCTGTGATGTCACAAATTGGTCTGTCTGGTGCAGTGATATTTGTAGGCAAGTTAGCACCTTATTGGAGTGCATTATTTGAACCCAAAGTTATAACTTCACTAACAGTTCATAATTGATAGGGGGGCTGCTTTACTAGCATTAAGAAAAAACAATGAAGCCAATACAATGGCTAGTTGTCCAAAGGTCAGTGAATGTACAGATTCTGCTGGGGCAAGAACATGTTATTCTGTCCTGGTTTGCAAATGGTTGGCAAAACCACCAGAGCATAATGTGTTCTTACTTGCCAGGGACCATAAATTTAACAATTTTCAGAAATCCACCCTAACGTTTGTTTAAATATTACAGGGAACTAATCTGATATGACATTGCAAAATGGTCTAGTTACAAGACAGCCATAGGTCATTTTAAATGTGTGAAAATGATTATTAACACTGCATTGAAAGATTTTTTACATTGGTCTCTCTTGGAGTAGAATTTCTTTATTCTGCAATCTTGGGAGCTAGCCAAATAGCATGTGATAGGTAAAGTCTGTTCTGTAGCTACAGTCCCAGACTGGATTTGTTCAAAGAATCAAGCTTCTTGTTTTCAATCTTTGTTTCTGCTACTAGACTCTTTCTCTCTGGTTCTTGCTTGATTCCCTATCAGGTTTAAAGCTTTAAGTGGTAGTGCGCACAAGCCAAATACCCTTTCCTGTACAGCTGAATTTTATTTTTTGTTGTGTGCATAAGATGCACCTCTATATATAGATATAATATCTCTATATACATTTATATGATTCAGAAGAAACTAATATGCCTTTAGGTAGCTTCAGATAAAAAGAGAATAATGCGGATTGTGTAGTACAGCTGGATTGAACATGATCTTTCGCCTTTGTCTTGCTCTCTGCCAATTATAAGGGTCGTACGAGATTGTGCAGTTTCAATTGAGCCACNAAAAAAAGCAAACAAAAAAAATGTGACTTTCTGCACTCTCATTCAGCGAGGCCACGCAGTGAGGAAATTAAAATGCCACACATGTGCTTTAGGGAGTGATTTTTTGAGGTTGTGATTAAGACATTATTAGGCTGGTCTAGAGGGAGCAATAGTCCACATCTAGTCTGTTCTATACCTGATCGGAGACTACAGGAGGCTGACACGGCTTAGAAAAAAGTGACAAAAATGACAACCTTGACATCGCCTTGGTATTAATAAGTTAATTCTCAAAGTCTTACAATAGTTGGTGTTTTCTGGTTAATACCTATTGTCATATTGACCTTGTGTCCATGTAATGAGAACACTGAATACTTTGCCCAGAAATGTTTTGTGACTTCTGTTAAATTTTTATCAGGCTGAGATGACAGGCTGCTCATCTGGCAACCCAGCATGAAAAGGACATGATTATCCAGAATACTACTGTATTTAAGACTGTAGTTAATTACTTGTAATGCAAACAGTGAGTTGGTTTTCTACACTGGGCTATCAGGCAGATATACAGTCACTTTACAAATAAAACTTTTTCTCTGAATAAATGTAAAAGTGGTTGTGAGTTTGTCAGAAATCAAGATAATTCAGATAATTTGCCTTCAAGATAGATTACTGTTTAATTCTTAGAATGATTACAATTGCAAAGTATGCAGTCCCCACACTTTACGGTAAATTCTGTGAAGAGCTTTGAGACATCCTCCCATCCCACCCCGACTGAAAGGTGCTATATCAAATACAAGATTATTAGTATCTAGATTTTTTTGTGGGTACGTTTTTGATATATTTGCTGCCCAAAGAATTAAGTAGGTAATATTTTATTTTAGTTTTTATTTTCTCTCATTATCCTCAGAGGATATAGTAGATGTATAATGTATTTAGTTTCATATGTGCTTCACGCTCAGACCCAAGGATCTGTCAGTGCAGATGTAGTGTAACTTCCAGCTGTGATTACATTTTATGAGCCAAGCACTTTTGGATTTCTCCACATAGAGCAAATATTGGTCAACATTTAAATCAGAATTTAAAAGCATTGCTGCTTGTGAAGAGATTTCCATGGTAACACTGCGTGCAGGTAGTTAACTCAGTTTCCGTGAAGCAATACAATTGTTTTTCAGAAAATCATCAGGCAAAAAACATAGTTGACAATTTAGATATTGCCTTGCACAATTGAGTTGAAGCAGCTTAATTTATAACTATGACTCTTAAAAATACAAGTCCTGGAGAACGTGAAGGGCAAAACATAGCAGCAACCATGTAAGTGCAGCTTATAATAAATAATAATAATCCTTGGATTTGATATAGCGTCTTATCACGTCTTTGTGACGTCTCAAAGCACTTAAGAGAACATGTTTGTGGGACATTGCTGTGCGCAATTGGCTGCCACGTTCGCCCACAAATAGACAGTCAATTCACTTTACAGTGTGTTCTGTGAAGCGCTTTGGGATGTCCCCCCTACGTGAAAAGCGCTATATCAAATGCAAGGATTATTATTATTATTATGCTGTGAAGTGAATTGACTGAATATTTTGTGAGTGAATCGCAGCCAATAGAGCACAGCAGTGTCCCACTTGTGGAATGAGTGATCAAATTTTTTTTTTGAAGGGATTATTCCCCCGGAAAAGCAATCCGCCAATCGACTAACAACCGGGTCCCTACTTACTGCTAGGTAAACAGAGAGGAAGGAAACCTGCCCAACGTTTCGCCCTGTCCAGGAATTGAACCTAAGTCCTCTCGCTTGAGAGGTGAGTGCTCTAACCACGAAACTGCAAGACTCCACAGCTTAGAAATTTAAGTTGCCTTTAATAACTGTTCAGGAATCCTGGAATATAGCCCCAAATATCTATGTAACTGACAGATTATGGTGTTGAAAAGACATCACTGTTCCCATTAGAGGACAATAATCAGATCTTCCATCCCAATATTTCTGATACTCGCAACTGCCAAAAAGTTAAAGCTCATGAGGCTCCATTCTAATCAGTTGTCTTTAGATGCTGTTTCTCATTCACTTTCAATTGCATAAGTCAACTAAAGTCAGTTGAGTAGTGATTAGAATCACTCTCCCCTGTTCTGGGTTATAATGTGAACTCATTACATTCCCTTTTGGGACTTCTGCTGTCATGTTCTTGAGACAGAAAATGATTGCATCAGAAATACGTTTCTGCCGAAATCCAAGAAGCATGCTGGACTTTATAATGTCAGCACTTTCAGAATTCAATTCATAGCTGTTACTGTCAGATGTGCCAGTACTATTGCTAGATGTTCTCTAGGAAAGATTGGGGTTTATTACCATTCTGTGAATTCTTCAGAACGAATATATAGAGGGGTTAACAATTGACAAAGCGAGGCAAGTAAATTGAAACAAATGTAATGGTATGGGTGTCTGTATAAAAAATAATAAGGTGAGCTTTCAAAACACCAGTTCAATCAAATAGTTCTCATCACGTAAACTGTGATTGAAAACTTGAATGGTGTTTGAATACCAGCAGAACTAAGAAATCTCAAAATGCATGGTGCTGAAATGTCTAACCATTTGGTTTTTCTCTTCCAGTTAAACTAGAAAAAGATGACAACGGCCCTGTAACCTTTTTCATTCTTAATTGCATAATTAAGGGCATAGTAATTCCCGCTGTCCACATGTTTTGCATCTAGTTTATACAGCCCACAAATTCGACCTAAATGTATTAATAGATTTTCTTAGATCATAGGAGTCAAAAATATTGAAATCAACAGCTGTCTTGTGATAGAAGATTGAAACATGATTAGGCCATTCAGCCCCTTGAGCCTGTTCCGATATTCTATGAGATTATGGCTGATCTGTACCT